AATGAGCTTTTATACGCCTGTCAAAGGTGGGACACATTACACTATAGTGTCCATTTGTCTTTGCGTATGAAAACTCTGTCTTGTCCCACTCATAACTTTTGAGCCGCTCAAGATAACAGAACTTCATACACACATGCATCATCATTAGACGGACCGTCATGTACACTTTGCATCACCCCAGCTTCAAGGTCAAGGTCACAAATCAAGTTCAAACATACCCAGGATCCACCCCTCAAGAGAGACCTGGAAGGCCCTGACAATTATCCTGACTTCTGGATAATGGTTTGTTGATGGATATATAATGTACCTTATCAGAATCAGAATAAACTTTATTGGAAATGCACCAAGGTACAACGCGAATATGTATGTACAGTTGTCCGAAAGATGGGCGGAGTGCACGAAGCTGCAACTGTAGAAAGCGCGGCCTTTTTATCCTTATCAGATAATAATCTTAGATAGGAAAATGGAGAGAAACATGAGGGTAGATAGTGGTATTACAAAAAAGATCTTTCACATCTTGTCTATCAGGACACGATTTAAGACAAAAAAACTACGAGCAAGCACAATTAAAACATGGGACATTTGCATTTGACATCAAGGTGTTGAGATTTATGCGGTACTTAAGTTGTTTTTTACAGTATGGTGGTATAGGTACAGTATGGTGGTTTAGGTACATTATGGTGGTATAGATACATTATGGCGGTATAGGTACAGTATGGTGGTATAGATACATTATGGTGGTATAGGTACAGTATGGTGGTATAGGTACAGTATGGTGGTATAGGTACAGTATGGCGGTATAGGTACAGTATGGCGGTATAGGTACATTATGGCGGTATAGGTACAGTATGGTGGTATATATACAGTATGGTGGTATAGGTACATTATGGTGGTATGGGTACAGTATGATGGTATAAGTACAGTAAGTTGATATAGGTACAGTATGGTGGTAGATACAATATGGTGGTATAGGTACATTATGGTGGTATAGATACATTATGTTGGTATAGGTACAGTATGGTGGTATAGTATGTTGGTATAGGTATAGTATGGTGATATAGGTACATTATGGTGGTATAGATACATTATGTTGGTATAGGTACAGTATGATGGTATAGATACAGTATGGTGGTATAGATACATTATGTTGGTATTTGTACAGTATGGTGTTATAGATACATTATGGTGGTATAGGTACATTATCAAGTCAAGTCAAGTCATCTTTATTTGTAGAGCACAATTTAAAACAGATAAACTGTTATCAAAGTGCTTAACAGAAATGTAGCAAAACATAGGCAGCAAAACAAAAACATCATACAGAATTAAAATTACTGGAGCAATAACACACACTAATGATCACACTAAGGAAAAACAAGCATTAAAAATAAACGTCAATCATAAAACAACAGAATTTAAAATGAGGTACACAGAACAAAATAAACCAACTCGCACAGTATTAAACGCCAGAGCAAACAGGTGCGTTTTAAGGAGGGATTTGAACATCAGGAGGGAGGAGGCCTGCCTGATGTTGAGGGGCAGGTTGTTCCACAGGTTGGGACCTCTGACTGAAAAAGCTCGATCCCCTCGGAGCTTCAGGCGTGAATTTGGAACGACCAAGAGAAGCTGGTCCGATGATCTCAGGGCCCGAGACGGAACATATGGTTCCAGGAGCTCGGAGAGGTAGAGGGGTGCGAGGCCATTTAGGCACTTATATGTCAGGAGGAGAATCTTGAAGTCGATTCTGGATCGCACAGGAAGCCAGTGAAGGGAGGACAGAACAGGTGTGATGTGCTCAGACCTACGTGTACCAGTTAACAGCCGAGCAGCTGCATTTTGGACGAGCTGGAGACGAGAAATGGACGCCTGACTGACCCCAGCATAGAGTGAGTTACAATAGTCCAGGCGGGTTGTGATGAAGGCATGGACTAATGTTTCAAGATTGGGTCTGGATAACACTGGCTTGAGCTTAGCTCATTATGGTGGTATAAGTACAGTGTGTTGGTATAGGTACATTATGGTGGTATATGTACAGTATGGTGTTATAGATACATTATGGTGGTATAGGTACATTATGTTGGTATAGATACAGTATGGTGGTATAGGTACATTATGTTGGTATAGATACATTATGTTGGCATAGATACATTATGGTGGTATATGTACAGTATGGTGTTATAGGTACAGTATGGTGGTATAGGTACAGTATCTTGGTATAGGTACAGTATGATGGTATAAGTACAGTAAGTTCATATAGGTACAGTATGGTGGTAGATACAATATGGTGGTATAGGTACGT